ACTAATCACCATTATTTGGTGCACTTGGGCTCTAGGCGGCCAAGCCGGCATATGTAGAAATGTGGACCTCTTAATAAATCTATTTTTGAGATGGATTTTAAGATTTAATATTTAAGGACATGTAATCTTTAACGTGGAGATCATGAATATGAAAAAAAAAAAGAATTTAAAAACTAAAAATAATAATTCTAATAAAAAACGTTTGGACCGTTAGTTTTCATTGTTTTAGATGGAACACTTACTTGCATCATTCTTTAAGATGAATGTTTTACACTTTCTGGACCGCATTTGTTGAAATGTGGTCCAGCCGGCATAAAATAATATTCCTCATTTGTTTTTAGTCTAGAAGGAAAAATTGGTCTCACTATTATTATTTTAGTGAAGGGATTATATACTATGAGACTATTTATGTTTCATATAAGGAGGTCACAATTACTTCTAGCCATTTCATGTTAAATTAGTTGGCTTGGGGTGTGTTTCGATCAATATTGTCAAATTCACTTACGAGCCTTCTTAAATTTGATAAGAAAAACGAAGCAATTTGGTTCTTTGGCCAATTCAGGGGAAGACTTTAAACTTTCACATTCCCATAATTTTTTTTGCGGTCCTTTTTGTGTCGGATCGTAATTTTTTTTTCAGTCCGGTACAAAAATGTGCTAGACCACATTATGGGCATGTGAGTGGTAGAGAGAGAAAGAATGAGGAAGGGTATAGAGAGGGTGTGTGAGGGAGGGAGGGAGGGTAGAGAAAAATAATGAGGGAGGGCATAGGGAGAAAGAGTGAGGGAGGTGGAGAGAGAAAGAGATTGAGAGAAGTGATTGGAGACAGAAAGAGAAAGGATGGGTGAGAGAGAGTTGTTTGGTAATTTGAAAGAGAGAAATTTAAAAAAGTATGTTGAAAAGGGGAAGAGAGAGAGAGAGAAATGACATTTTGGTCTCATAATACTTTGACTATTTGACTAGGGTAAATACCAAGGAAAAATAATATTGGGGTTTAGGGTATAATAGAAAACTAAGAACATAAAAATAAAAATACATTTATATAGATATTTCTTTGCTTTGGCTTGGCCTGAAGTTGATCGAAGCAGCCAAAAGCTAATTGAAGCGGCCTAAATCTAACCAGAGGGGCAACATTAGGTTTCGCTTCTTTTCAGTCTAGGCATAAAATCCAAAAGCTTTGGCCTAAGCGGAACGAATCAGGCAACGTTGGTTACGAAGTTCGAGAAATATTTTTTGAACTTCGAATCTATTCAATCACACTCTTACAGCTACACAATTTGAAATCGAACGGAGAAGAGTGTTATTGACTTTCTTATAAGTAATTGGTCTCTCGGTACAAAAATGATAACTCCGGATTAGAGAGACCACAAGAACGCAAATGAGAGAAAAAACAGTTCAAACATTTCAAATGGCATTGACTCATGCTTCGTTGATCACAGTGGGGCTCCTCACTTGGCACATAGAGCCTGAGTACCACCTTATATATCTATCACAATGGGGCTCCTCACTTAGTACTCAGTGTTGAGGATTGATGTCTTGTATTATGAAGAAATATATCTGTCAAGGTGAAGTAAAAAATACGACTCCAGAGGGCCGTTAAAAGCCCAAAGGGCTTGAGGTCCAGAAGAGTTGTCCTGACAGGTTAACTTGACAGACTCAGCCCTTGCAGGGGTTCGGAGGCAGCAACCCCAGAGGCAAAATTTGGATATATCCGTACATGGGATTCGATATATCTAAAATTTGGTATTTATATCTGTACAAGGGTATTTCGGTAATTTATACAATTTATCTGCGACTCGATATATATTGTTGCAATTGGAGGTTCATCTAGGATTAAGGGTTAAGGGAGAGATCTCTTTGTAATTAGATAAAAACAGAGCGACATGAGAATGAGAACGTATTGTAACCCTATTTTCATTGTCAGTAAAGAAGCTTTAATCTCCCATGGATGTAGGTACGTTACCGAACCACGTATATTTTGTGTTGTAGTTGGTTGTCTCTTTCTTTTGTGTTTATTTCTTCTTTTTTGTTTTCGTGGATTGCTTTTCGTTTCTACACTTAAAGCATGAATACTAACTTATATATCCTTGCAAAGGCTAAGTGGTTGAAGGCCAATATTTTCCCTTAGAAGAAATCGTCATCTGATAAGTTTGCTTCTCGTTTAACTTGGGGAAGTAAAGCCTATTGGGCTTTACCTCAACATTTACACCTTCTGGTTTGATGATGTCCACCTCATAAGAAGAATTTGCATCACCAACGTTGGTTACAGTTCTCGTAAAGGTAAAAGAAGTAGGTCCATAAGCTGTGAAACCAATAGAGAAAGAAGGGTAGTTTAAATCCCCTCTGTGATGCTTGTTTCTTTTGTGCAATGGAACTTCCTTCCTGCGAAGGCAAGTATTTCAGAATCAGTGTACCTCAAACCGCATAAATAAGGCAAGTAATCGTCTGGGCTATTGTCATAGATCAGGCCCGAATCAGTGGCCTTGATGGGGTTTATGTGGCCGGCCCCTATGGCATAGATATGGGCTTGCAGGTGATCAAAGTCGCTTATTGGCTTCCCTTTGTTGTCCAGAATGTCGGCGGGGGTCATCATGGCGGACTTTATGGCTGCAGGTGACCAGTTGGGGTGTGCGGGCTTTAGTAGTGCAGCAATGCCGCTGAGATGGGGAGTCGACATTGATGTGCCGTATATCATGTTGAAGAGCGCTCTCCTTTCATCGGAAGGGTCGCCTGTTGGGCTTAGGTTAGAGGGCGAGGATGCTCACTCTTGGGCCAATAATGTCGGGCTTTAGAATACCGGGGCTAATGAAGTTGGGCCCTCTTGAGGAGAAGCTTGCCGCTACGGGGGCTGCCGCCTCCCGGACCACCGTCCCCTTTTGGACGATCTCAGCCATGGGTTGTCGAGTCGAGTTCATGTAGGCTTTTATCTTGGTGCCTTCTTAGAAATCCACTTGAGATACAGGTAATGCATAGGCTACAGGGATGACCTCAAAGCTGGAATGTCCAACATTGATCATAATCATGGCAGCACCGCCGGCTCTTAAGACATTGTT